GGCAAACCTAATAAACTCTCAGGCAAGTTAACTGATGCTGTTGGATATGGGGTTCAGGGGACAGTTAGGGTCCAAGACATAATGTTAACATTACAGCATGGATGGATACCTTCCATCCACCCACTACCAACTCCAGCTCCTTAATATATAATAGGTGCTGATGTCTTGTGGGGGAGTTCTGTTTGTGTTATTAGGAGATTAAGCATGTGTCAGCTGTAAAGCCAATATTAAAAGGCATGCTGAACACCCCCCTGCTATTTTTGTTTGGGTTTTTTTTTTTTTTTGGCACCAGAAATTGAACCCAGGGAGGCTTAACCACTGAACCACATCCATAGCCCTTTTTATTTTTTATTTTGAGATAGGGTCTCACTGAGTTGCTTAGGGCCTTGTTATGTTGCTGAGGCTGGCTTTGAATGTGTGATCCTCCTGGTTCAGCCTCCTGAGCCACTGGGATTACAGGTGTATGCCATCACACTCAGCTACCGCCCTGCCATTTTGCCTATATCCCTGAATTATTGCCACCAAACAAAATCAGCTCCTCAGTAGCCATCAAGAATTAATGGAGACCATATAAAAACTAGCTAAAGTAAATAAAATTTGCTTAATCCACAGTACTTTTAACTCTCTGTGTGAACAATAAGAAAGAAAAGCAGAACTTGACAGTGGACTACAGGGCATTAAATAAGGTGATCCCTCCACTTTATGCAGCCATTCCCAATATAGCCATCATTCTAAATGAGCTTAGCACTCAATTGGCAACTAGAACTATGTGCTAGACCTTTGCTAATACCTTCTTTAGCATAGATACAGCTGCTAAGAGTCAAGACCCATTTGCCTTCACATGGAAAGGCCAACCATGGATATTTCTGTTATCTTGCCCATGTCCAATAGCATTAAGGTTACAGATAAAGAACACTTAAACCAGTCTAGGACAAAAGTAACTACCTACTGTTACCAGCTCTTCAAAACATCACTTTGGAGACAAGAAGCATGAGTTGACCCCATGGGGGATGTATAAGTAGCCCCCAGTGATTTGCCTTACTGACCACTTGAGGGGAGAAAGGATGTCAAAATTTACAAGTAAAGCCTACTGTGTTGGGAACCTGGCCCTCATAATTACATGTAATGCTACTCTTGGGTGTCAGCACCCAAGGAACACTTTCTATCAGCTTATGGCAGTTTAGAGGTGTCTTATTCTCTCTCTATCCCTGAAGTGCAAAGGTTGATATGGTACAGTTGTCCAGGCAAGCCTACAGTGTAGGCAACATTCTAACATTGTATATTGTTTCACAGAGCTGATTTATCATTACTGGTGCCTATTATACCCCTGTCATATTCTCCATAGGTCATTAACAAGTAACCTATTCCTGGACTGGGCAATAGAAGTTACCTATCATGCTACCCAAACCAAATGTTGGATCTGCTCAGAATTCCCTGTGATAACAGCACACAGACTTCCCTGGGTAGCCCAACTTGTAAATGCAATGGAATGAACTTGAATAACACAAAACCAGACTAAAAACACTCACCCACCAAATGGCTACTAAATAAAACTTTTGCTTTAATTAGAGAAACATTACATATCTCTTCAGTACCTGAATAAATGGAATGGGCCTTCATGGAAGGTAGCAATTCAAATTACAGTTAAAAAGACAGCTTTCCTTTATGTCACCAATACGGTCATGGTGTGTACTGTGGATATGTGGGCCCTATGGATGGCCTTACCTACCTTACCACTGGAAAGGACAATGTACTTGCCTTGTGTCCTAGTCTAAGTTCTCCTTCTTCTACCATATACACGTAGGAACTGGGAGAGCATAAAGGTATGCCACACAACGCAGCACCATGCCTACTGGTGAGTCTACTTGTAAGCTGTTCTTTCCCTACCAGATGCAGTGACTGATGTGGAATCTCAGGTACTGGCTCTAACCTCCCACACTGCTCAACAGCTCTTCATCAGATGAAACATAGCATAGCCTTGTTAAATGAGGAAAAACTACTCACAAAAGAAAGATGGGTTTTAAAACAAAATGGCACTATATATGATTATGGCTGCACAAGGTGTAGTACGTACAGTCTTAGGAACAGAATGTTAAGTATATATAACTGGTAGCCTTTGAGTCACCTCTTGTAAAAGCACCTAGTTCCTGCTGATGGGCAGACTTACAGCCTTTGGGACAGGAGTCCCTGGGTTTCTCCTTTGCTAGCAAAGCAATAATTTTTTTCCTTTTTCTCAAAAAAAAAAAAAAATACATACAACTAATAATGAATACAATATTACTAATGCTTTAAACAAAGTGCCTCAACAAATTAATGCTATTGATGCTGTTTCAATTGATATACTCCTAAGTGGTTATCCTCCTTTCCCTCAGCATAGAACTAGTATACCTTATATGTTATCTTCATAACCTTAGCATGGCTGCTGATGGATTCATGCTGTTTGTACTGTAGAATATGAATGCAATGTGCCTCCAAATCCCTACCACAAGGGCTTCACAGAAGACAAGCGGCAGTATGTGACTGTGAGGACCCTTAAGGGGCTTTTAAGGCACTAAAGGAATGGAATTTTAGGGAAACATTAATCAGAGTCTAGGAAAGCTTGTGCTGAGATAAGAATGACTCTAAAGAAAAAGATAATTAAGGAAATAGAGGAAGGGAACAGGTATTGGGTTAAATACTAATCAGGGTCTAGGAAAGACTGATGTGAAATAAGGAGGACTCTAAAGAATAAAGAAGAAAATGGAAAGGGAGAGTTGCCCACTTCCTTTATCTCCAATCTTTAGGTGAGAATCAAAGCAGAGTGACTACGGTTATAAAGTAAAAGACTATACTCATAAGACATCTGAAGAACTCCACCTGCACAGTGAGCATGCAACCTACCCCTTATATTCCTTCTGCTTGTAGGATGGTAGGATCCTCCACTGTAATTCTGGCTGCCACCATAGAGGAATGCATGAGTAATAAAATTTCTCAAATCTCTCTATTGAGTCCTACAAGTTCTTTCTTTGGGATCAGTAAACAGTACAGCCCTACAATTGAATATGACTCTACTTGGAATTGGGCTACAGGCCATTCATACTACATTCTGATAAAGAACTTAGATCTGTTTTGCTCATGTCCTGAGACTTCGTAAGAGACTAAATTTGGACTAATTAATCTGGCAGAAAAATATGCAGGGAGCACAGAATTGAGTCAGTGGCATGGGTTTTGCTGGTAACTTTTAGCAAGGTTTACTGTGAGAATCATGATCAACAAGCAGAGCTAAAGGATTTTAAAAACTTATAGTTTGACCAGAAGAGTGCATGTAAAACTGTGGTCAAGAAGAGTGTGATTTTTAAAGAGAGTATAGCCACTAAGAGGTGCTAAGTGCTTCATGCAGAGACAATAGGAGAGCTGGTTTGAGGGCATCTCAGGAATTTATAAGACCACACCTATTATAGGCTCAGAATATAGAAGGGAAAATTCCTGTAAAAAAGATGCTGGGGGGCACCATGCCTGCACAGGGGAACCTAGGAAGTTGTTTCACTATGCTCAGCCACCTAAGTACTCAGAGGCCACTGCAGCATTTGTCCAAGGAGGCCTGGCTATTTAGTCTTCAAGCTGTCAGCAGACCTTGGCATCGTCCCCATGGTGTTCATTCTGCAGGAATGTAGGTATTTGGAGCTAAGGGATCATGGAGGTTTCCACCAAAATTTCAAAGAAAGGCTTAGGAAGCCAGACAAAGTATAGCAAGGTCAGAATCTCAATGTGAGAGGATTATATGTAAAGCTGTGAAGGTAAAGCCAAAGCTGGAATGGAGATCCTAGAATAAGAGGTACCAGTAAAGTGGACTGTTTGCTGAAGAAAAGCTGCTGGATTAAGAGAGAATCAGGCTAAGGGAGAGGCCAAGAGCACAACAGGCAAGATTAGAGGTGCTCTGTTTGGGGAGCACATTTATTTGCCTTTTGTCCTAGAAACTATAGATGGAATAAAAGGACCCGTTTGCCTAGTTGGGTTTTAGTTTTGTTTTGATCCATCCCTTCTCTCTCTGTCCCTATTCCTCCCTTTTAAAATGGAAATATGTACTCTGTACCACTGTATATTGGATATATGTAACTTGGACTTTTGGGCAATGCTAAAACTCTTAAGATTATGGGACTCCTGGAAATAAATAAATGCATTTCACATTGTAAGATGGACATGAGCTCTTAAAGACCAGGGAAAGTGTGTGATGGTTTGGATATGAGGTGTCACACAAAAGCTCCTCTGTAAATGCAGGAATGGTAAAAGATTATATTACGAGAGCTATAACCTAATCAGTCCATAATAGTTTGAATGGGCTGACTGGATGGTAGCAGTAGGCAGGTGGGGCAAGAGCACAATAGGCAAGATTAAAAGTGGAGGACAGTCCAAGCCCTTTGGAGAGCCCAAGGAGGTGGGTCCCTGGGAAATACACTGAAAGGTTCATCTTACTGCAGCCCCTTTCCCTTACCCTGCTTCCCTGCTGTCTCAAGGTGAACAGGGCTCTAGCACACCCTTCTACCATGATGTTCTGCCTCATCTTGAGTGCAGATCAATGGAGTTGGCCTATCATGGAGTAAACCTCTGAGACCATGAGCCAAAATAAACTTTTCCTGCTCTAAGTTGTTCCTCTTGGGCATTTTAGTCAGTGACAAAAAAAGCTAACAGTTACACTATGTTTATTTGATACAACTTTTAAATAATGCAATTTAGTAGCTGAAACAATGTTTCAGAACTTTAAGCTCCTGGGCATATATTATCTATCTTATTCATTTGGGTATAAAGTAACAAATTATCTGAAAACAGCCTGATGCTTAATAAATCTAAGATAAAAGTCACTTTTCAGAATAAAAACTGGAATAGTTACTAAAATGTAAGTGTTTTCACATAAATATTACTTTAAATTTTTTGTAAAACCATATGCAATTAGTGAATTATCAACAGCTAAGCAGGGCAGAAGTGCAGAAGATAAGAGATCACAATCACTACAACAATCTTACCTTCTGATGTTTTCCATCGTTTCCATAAATCCTCAACAGTTATATGCTTATCTTCTCTGTGCAGATGACTGTGTTTATTAGTAGCATCTTTATATTTCATATCTTCTCTGATAAACTAGAGAAAAGAAAACACTATGTTAAATAGACTAAAATTAACTAATTTAGTTTTGATTTAAAAAATCTTATATGGCTATTTCTCAGCTAATAACTGGTATATTTTTGATACCTATTTGTTACATATATTTTGTGAAGTGCCTCTTACTAATTATCCAATAAAAATATCAGTGTTAAGTACGTATTGAACATTCATTATTTACCAAGTAGAAATTACATAACGAGTATGTCTATACACCTAAAACACACCTACATATACATAGGGTCATTAAGCTTTATGACAATCCTATAAGAAAAATATTATTTTTCTTTAAGACACAGATGAGAAACCAAGGCTAAAAGGGAGTAAATAATATGCTCAAATTAAATAATTTGAGAGATTAAATAATACAGTTGAAATAATGAACAGCAGAGTTCAGATTCCAACCCAAGTAGTAGTTATACTCAAGAGCATAATACATTTTTACAAGAGAATGTTTTAAAACATAATACCAGTCTTTCAATTACTGCATCATATTTCTGTTTTCCTTTTAAAATATTGCTTATAACTTAAGGGCATTTGGTTATGATGTGCAGAACTAATGTATTTTACAAAACTGAAGTATACCCTCTATTAGTCTTACTTTAAAATATATACAGAGCCAGACAGAGACCCACGCCTGTAATCCCAGCACCTCAGGAGGCTTAGGCAGGATTACAAGTTCAAAGACAGCTGCAGCAATTCAGTGAGTTCCTAAGGAACTCAGTGAGACCCTGTATCTAAATAAAATACGAAATAGAGCTGGGGATGTGGCTCAGTAGTTAAGTGACCCTGAGTTCAATCCCTGGTACCCCACCACCACCAAAAAATAAAAATAAACAGTATGTGGGTGTGTGTATACACAGAGAAAGTAATAAAATTATCCTTACAAGAACTAACCAGTTCTATGTTACTTCTTTAATTGTTTCCCACTGTCTAACAAATAAAAAGCAAATTCTTTTTTTATGGCTTACGTATCATTTATAAATTTTTTCCCTGACAATCTTTAAGGCTTATATCCTGATACTCCTCCCTAAAAAGCCTTTAATTATATAAAACCGATATTTTTTCCATGTTCTTTCAACCTCAATATTTCTGATATTCTTGTTTCATTATTGTTTTATTAGCACTTAAATTGATTTTTTTCTGATTCCAAAAACATAAGGATTATTTCAGAAATCTAAAATGCAGAAAGTGAAAATCCCCCACAGCCCCACTTCAGAGGCATATATTTCTGACTTTACACTGACAATTAACATCATCTTCAGACAAAAGATGAGATTTTGCTTTTTACTACAGTGGTTCTATACTAAACTATTTAGCAGTGATATAATATCAACCAAATATTTCACTTTTCTGATCTTCAGTGTGCTTGAATACCAAATACAGAAACAAGATTTTAAGATCAACAAACTATTTAACATGTGATCAAGAGACTAGTGTCAATCGTACTGATTCTGGTCTACACTAGATACTGAAACTGGCTGTGGCCACACTTACCTTTATAGTAATCAGGCAATGTTTTCAAAGCACCTGAATCATGCATTTTATAATACCTCTCCATAAGAGATTGGAAATTCAACATCTGGTCCTTCATCACTATTGGTTTCCATAGCACTAATCCAAAACATTACTTTAGCATTTATATATCTGTTGCTCTAAATATTGCCCTACTCCTTTTTTCTAACTGCTTCTTTTTAAAATTATACTAAAAGGCATCTAATTGCTCCAACTCCTCCTTTCATCCCTCCCATTCTTCCTGACTGATCTAGTAGAGATAACTGGCTTTTAAATAGGAAAACCTAGAGTAAAAATCATAATAATGGACAAAGCAAAGAGGAAGTATGTCCTGGAAATGATCCAGTCACTTAGAACAAATGGCAAGTGTTTCATTTATATGATACATATTTAAAACAACTAGGAAATCCTCTTCATCATATGAACACTTAGGAGCCCAGAGTATAATTCTGGTGCTTCAGAATTATTACAGTTCAGAAATAAGATAACTTCCACATACAACAGATATTGTATTCTAGCTACTTAATATATTAAAAGGACCAGAATGAGTTTATAAAGATCAATAAACCCTTAGACAAACTAAAGAAAGTAAGAAAGCACTAAAATTAACAAAATTCAGAAGAAAAAGGAAATGTCAAAACAAACACTACTGAAATTCAGAGGATCATCAGAAATTGTTTTGAAAATTTATATTTCATTAAGCTAGGAAATCTTGAAGATATTGACAAATTCCTAGAGACATATGACCAAACCAAATTGAATCATGAGGATGTGGAAAACTTAAACAGATCAAGTAATGAAATTGAAGCAGCTATCAAAAGTCTTCCAACAAAGAAAAGTCCAGGACCAGAAAGATTCTCAGAAAAGTAGTACCCAACCACTGAAGAACTAATACCAAGCCTCCTCAAATTATTCCATAATATAGAAAAGGAGAGAACACTGCCAAATTCATTCTACAAAGTCAGCAGCACCCTAACACCAAAATCAAAGACAAATCAAGAAAGAAAATTTTAAGCCAATATACTCGATAAATATACATGAAAAATTCTTAATAAAATATTAGCAAACCATATAAAAAACATTTAAAAGACAAGGCACCATGAACAAGGAGTTTGATCCCAAGGATGCAAGGTTGATTCAATATATGGAAGTCAATAAATGTAATTCACCACAAAAATAGCATCAAGGTCAAGAATCATATAATTAATTACCTCAATAGATGCAGGAAAAGCATTTGACCCATTCTTGTTTACAACACTAGAAAAACTTGGGACAGAAGGAACTTACCTCAACATTGTAAAGCTATATATGACAAACCCAAGGCCAACATTATTCTGAATGAAGAAAAATTGAAAAGCACTTCCTCTAAAAACAGGGACAAGGCAAGGATGTTCACTTTCACCACTCTTATCGACATAGTCCTTAAAACTCAAACCAGAGCAATAAGGCAATAGAGGGAATTAAAGGGATACAAATAGGAAAAGAAGCACTTAAACTATCTCTGTTTGCTGACAACACTCCATATATTTAGAAGACACAAAAAACTCCACCAGAAGACTTCTAGAACTCATAAATAAATTCAGCAAAATAGCAGAATACAAGACCAACACTCATAAATTAATCATGTTCCTGTACTCCAATAATGAATCTGCTGAAAAAGAAATTAGGAAAACTATCCCAGTCACAATAGCCTTTAAAAATTTAAATAAAATACTTGGGAATAAATCTAACAAGGTCTCAAGGTGAAGGACCTCAAGGTCTTAAAAGATGGTAAGATCTCTCATGTTCTTGAATAGGCAGAATTAATATTGTTAAAATGGCCATACTAACAAAAATGCTATAGAGATTCATAGTAATTCCCATGAAAATTCTAGCGACATTCGTCACAGAACTAGTAAAACTAGTTCTCAAATTCATTTGGTAAAATAAGAGACCCAGGGGCTGGAGGTGTGGCTCAGCGGCAGAGTGCTCACCTAGCACATGTGAAAAGCAATATGGAGATTCCTCAAAAAACTAGGAATGGAACTAGCTATCCTACTCCGAAGTATGTATCTGAAAGATTTAAAATCAGCATACTACAGTGACACAGGCACATCAATGTTGGTGGCAGCACAATCCACAAGATCCAAGCTATGGAACCAACCTAGGTGCCCTTCAACACATGAATGGATAAAGAAAATATGGTATATATACACAACACAGTATTACTCAGCCATAAAGAAGTATGGCATTATGGCATTTGCTGGTACATGGATGTAAGTGGAGACTATCATGGTAAGTGAAATAAGCTAGTCCCAAAAAGTCAGAGGTCAAATGTTTTCTCTAATATGTGGAAGCTAAACCAAAATGGGGTACCAGGAGGGGATAAAAAGAGAGAAAGCAAGAAAGAGAAAGGGAAAAAAAGAGAGGGAATTTCAAAAAATTAAAGATTAGTAGAGTAGATGAAGGGGATTGAGCAGCAGGAGGAAATAGGAACAAGAAAAGGGGAAACATTGGAATGAATCTGAACAAACTTTTCTTTGTATACACATGGATGTAGCACAGTGAATCCCAACATTAAGTATATCCACAAGATATTCATTTTAAAAACTATAAATAAATTTCAGAAAGATAAATAAAGGAGGAGAGTAGGGAGCAGGCATTGGGGAACAGGGAGAAGTGCTGGGGACTAAATTCAAGCAAATTATACTTAATATTTTTGGGATTATTTCAAAATATATCCTAATGTTATATATAACTAAAAAAATTTTTAAACCATAATTTTAAGAGAACTCAACACCCAGGAGATGTGACTTATCATCACAGTTAAGTACTCAGACTTTGCAGTGTGACAGACATATATTCAAAATCTGACTCCACTAGTCATATTATTAGATACTTACCTACAAGTTACTTAACCTCTCTTTAGCCTTCTATTTCTATTCTGTACAAGGAATAAAACTGCATATGGTTTTGAAGATTACATTTAAAATCCCTAGATGGTGTGCATAGAAAAATATTTTATAAGCCTAAGTAAATAAATATAACATGAATAATTAATTTTACCCTGACTAAACTGGTGGGATTAATACATATTCTAGAGATGAACAGACACTTATTAGGGTAAGATTACCAGTACTCTTGGATATTCTGAAACAAACTAAATAACACTGAGATGGAGAAGGAAATCACAGCCTCTCTGCTGACAATGTAAGCAAGTTCCAAGGACACCTGTCATCAAAACAACACACTGTCCAAGGTCTGATATGTGAGTCAGTTAAAGCAGATGGATTCCTTATAAACAACTGCAGCATTCTTACTTGAAAATAATTCTCAAATAGCTTGCATAAGATCTCAGAGGAAAGACTATACAACCAAAAACGTACTACTATAGTCCCCAATTTTACAAACAAGAAAACTAAGACTAAGGAAGGAAAGATTAGCCATTTACTCTATTTCATGGAGCTACTTAAAAGGAAAATCCA